AAAATGAAAACTATCTGTGACAATTTTTGCTTTCTCTGTGGCTCGTCTTTACAATACATGAGTGTTGCTGATTTTAAAAAAATCAGCTGCAGATCTCGCTATTAAATATAGCAAAGATTTAAAAAAAGTACGAATTCACAAGTGAAATTGAAAGTTTTAATTTTGAAGTAATGACTCATACAAAATATGGAAACTGCATCTCTGCTTAATATTCTACAGGCTCTTCATGATTTTGGTTTAATTGAATCTTACCCAAATATCAATGTTGATCTTCGAACATTTCTAACTCTTCCCATTTCTATTGCTTCGTGCGAGAGAAGTTTTAGCAAGTTAAACTTAATAAAAAATTATTTAAGATCAACTATTGGACAAGAACGATTATCCAATATTTCTATTATTTCGATAGAATACAATATTGTTAAAAATATTAATTATGAAGGTGCAATTAATGAATTTGCTGAAATGAAAGCCAGAAAAATTTAATTAAAATAAATCTTATTAAAAATCTATTGTAATGTACATTATTATTTTCCCAAAACCAAATAAATTAAGGGGTCTAAATGCAAATTCTTGTACAGGGCACAGGAATGGCTAGTTACAGCTCTGCTTACAAGTATACTTTGTTTTGGTTAAAGGTGTTATGGTACACTATATTGGTTAATGTGTTTTTAATTTCTTGTCTATAGATCAATTTAAAATAATTATTAATATATTCTTCATAGATTTTCCTGTAAGTACTAGGGATGTGAAGTAAGTCAGAAACAAATTTGTTGCTAGAACAGAGTCAGAGTATCTAAAAATGGACCAACAATAATTCCTGTTTTCTCAATATGAACTTTATATTAAACTCATAACAAAAACATTAATCTCCTATTTTGCATTACAGAAGGCTTCTGTAATGCAAAATCTTATTCTATGACAATTCCTCTACTTTATATTTCTTTAGAAGATTGAAGATTGAAGAGTAGAAGATTGTTGACTTTATATTTCTTTGAATATCACTAATTACTAATGATTTTCTTTTCATAAATTTATATTCTCATGTATTCTGTCAGTTAATTTTAAATTTTTATTGCCAAAAGACCCATACAAACTGACTAAGATGACTTGGGTTAAATCTAATGTTTCTGATTAGGCCTACTTTACTACAACCACAGATAGAAAACATTTTGTGTGTCAATAAATGGTTGATGATGATAGTGGCAATAATAAAAAACTCAATGAAAAAAAATACACGTACTTTTAGTTTTGATAGGAGTGCTTAATGATTCACTTGGTAGTGATGAAATGCTATTCTGGATTAATACAATTAAAGTATTGATATATTTAATTATTATTTAGAATAGAGATTCCCAAAGTGGTCAATATTGACTGACCCACATAAAGCATTTTAGAGGGTCAAAAATTAATCAATTGAAAACAGTTCATTAAAAATTTATGTACATCACAGTTGAAGCTATTATAGGCAAGCGCCAAATCCGACAGAGGGCGCTGTTTTGAGCCAAGATGGCTGCCGAAACAGGTAAGGAACCGACCACATGTTTGTTCAGTGCATGAGCCAATTCAGTTTCTAGCGGTGACGACTACTGCGAGGACCAAATGGAGAACAAATCATTGAATTTATGTCAAATTCTAGACTATATTGGCGACCGGAAACGTTGTCTCATAGAAGGTGAAGCCGTTTTGGATGCTGGACACATCGTATTTTGTGGATTAAACTCTAACAACAACACTGAAGTTCACGTTGTTGCTTCAGTGCTGCAATCTCAGATATTGGCATTTTAATTTTAATACATCTCAATTACAGGGAGAATGCACGTGCAAAGCGGGGCTGTCTGGTTTTTGTAAACACGTGATAGCGTGTTTATTACACGTTAACAGGTGAGAAGTATTTAAATATTTTAAGCAGTATACACCATGTTCCAATATAAAAACATAGTTTTATTTATCATAATAGTTAAAATTAGTGCCAATCTGAAGGCTGCCCTGCTGAGTCATTCAGCACTTATACAACATAGGCCAGTCAAAAGTTTGTAGCACACGTTTTGTGTGTGCACGTCTCATATATCCAAAACGGCTTCACCTTCTACAAGACAACGTTTCCTGTCGCCGATATAGTCTAGAATTTGACATAAATTCAATGATTTGTTCT